AAAAAAAAAAATTCCTTTATCTTTGTTTGAAAGAGAAGATCATCACCTTAAACTTCATAAATGTTCATGAGTCAAACAGGATGATAATATTTACCCCACTGTTATCATCGCTACCTTTTATTTAATGTCATGAGTATAGGGTGTGGACCGGAAGAAGCCACACAGAGTTTCACAGTTCTGCGGGGTAATTAGTAAGTTTTGTATGTGTGCCTGGGATATTAGGGTTGTAAATCACAATTAAAGATGAAAAATGTTAGCAGGGAAGTAAAGCAGAAAGTCCAAATCAGACAGTGAATTAGGGATTAAGTGGGAGTGGTGGAAAGGCAGGCTAAGAACATTTACAGAGAGAGAAAATAGCAGAGACTATCCCAAAACAAGAATTCATTGTTCTAACATTCAGGAAGTATATATATAGGGTGTGGAGGAAAAAAAGGAGATGTGGGACATTTCAGAGCAGACACTGCCCAGACTAGATCTTTTATCCTCCCATGCACATGCACACATACACCTCAGTTCCATTATAAGCTTTAGGTGAAAAAGATAAAGCATTTTAATGAAAAAGCCTCACAGTTCTGACTCTTTGTCATTTTCATCCAGGTAGTATTCATCATCTGTGGTTGTGTCTGTGTCAAAATCTGAGTCCACTGGGTCATCCTCATAGATATTAAGCGGTTCACTTGGAGATAAGCCATCTTCTGGCATCTGACTACTGGGAGAATTTGAGCTTAACGACTCTGAGGGGTTGGGAGGGTTCCTCAAATCATCTTTTAGGAAGCCAGGGTTCTTAAGAAAACTTGGTTTCCATAATCTTCCTTGTGTAAGTGACCTCTTTACGTTCTCTAAAAAAGCTAATTGTTGTTCTTTTCCAAAGATCCCATAGTCGATAGGTCTGTATATAGATGTTGCAGACCTGGGACCTGTTTTTGTACCACTGCGATAAGCCCAACTTTCATTTCCATCGTAGGAGGGGAGTTCAGAAAAAGATCTGAATCTTCGACTGTACCCATTGTTGACAGAGAATTCATTCCCAAGTGTCAGTCGACTCAGGGCATTGTCAATAGACGTGCTTTCAGAAAAATGGCGCTCTCTGACTTTTGGAGGATGACTTTTTCGTAGTAGATCGCCATGCACATTAATGCTTTTTAAACTCTTTGAACGATAGAGGTGTGGCTCAGGTTCCCACTCCAGAGATGAAGCACTCCTTTGTTGCCACAGCCAACTGGCCCGTGGGATGCTTACTCTAGATTTCTGTGCAGGCTCCAGTGGAAAAGGAGGGCTCAGCCTCCTCTGATCGTCAGAGAATTCTGCTTCCCTGAGGCTGGTGAATGTGATGGGGGATGGGGCTCCTGATTCTCCTTCTAAATTCTCAGCTACTGTGACGTCTTTAGAAATCTCATGCTTTGATGGTGATTCTGAGACATTTTTAAACTCGTTCTGATGTCGTTGTGAAATGCTGTTAGACTTCTGGTTGCTGACGTGTGTAGAAGGTTCTCTGTTGGGTAGTACAGTAATGGGGATAGGGTTCTCAGATTTCTTCACATGCTTTCCATCCTCACTCAACCTGCTTTCGCCTATGGACTCTGCAGATTTTGGAGTAGGCTCAGGGAACAGTGGGTTGCACTCCACTGTGCCAAGAGATAAATGGTCAAAGCCAGATCTGCTTCCACTTTGGGGGAAGATAGTAGCTACATGTCTTCTGGGGCTTACATCTTTAGCTGGGAATTTTCTGTTTGCTTTAGACATGACTGCCAATCTGTGTTTAACTGAAGATCTATTTTCCCCCTTTACTAGGTCATCAGAGTTGGTTTTATTTTTATTGTTTCCTTCAGGAAGTGAAGGTTGATCCCAAGCTGATTTCTGCATTTCATCTTCAGCCTTCCTGCTCTCTGTCATATTTGCCTCCTGACTTCTTTGCGGTAATTCTCTGGGTTCAGACTGCAGACTCTCTAAATTTAGTTCATCTGACTGAGTCTCCTCACCAAGCTGTAGTTTATGCAATGCTGGAGTAAGAGCAAAGACTTGACTCTCTGAGTGAGAAAGTGTTTTATTAGTCATTTTTTGGCAGTTGGTTCCGATGTCCCCTCTGCCTTCCCTAGACTGTGATCCACTGGAGCCATCACCTACAGTTGTGGATGTGTGATCTTTCTGAGGACACTTCCCACTTCCAGTAAAAGGAATGGCTCTACCACTCCCTGTACACTCCCAAGAATTTCTTCTGGCTTGGGAATTTCCAATATTAACTTCTGAAAGAGCTGGAAGACTAGAGGGACCACTGTTACTTGAATTAATGGATTGTTGACAATTTTCAGATTTTTCTTCGGAAACATTTTTTCTCTGAGGCATCAATAAAGTATGCAGGGTTTCACTTTGCAGTTTTTTACCTTTTTCTTTCTTGTTTTCTGAATCACCTAGAGGTGCTTTAGCTAAATTATCTGAAAAAATCTCTCTAGCTTTAGATTCCTCTTCAGGAAGAGAAACAGCTGCCTCAACAGAAACCATTTCCTGTAATGTAGGCACTAGGGGCCCCCTATTTGATAATCGGAAGGCAGTCATATTTTCAGAGGTGAGCGTCTGATCAGAGTTGACTGACATCTTTAGATTTTCACATGACGGTGTTCCTGACTGCTCTCGTGTAAAATAATTCTGTTCGTCTTTTTCTAAAGCATTAGGAAATGTTTCAGTCTCCACTTGAGGTGATTCTGTAAGTGAATTAGTATTTTGTGTATACTGTTGAAGAAGGTTACAGAATTTTTTGCTGGGTTTCCTCGGTAGAGTATAATATATTGAGACCACTTCCAGACATTTTACATTGTCGTCATCACCAGAAACAGAAAATGTACTAGTTGTCTTAACTTTATGTAATGTTTTCCCACGTTCTTTTCCTGACAAGTCTGAACAAAAAGGTAAAGGGTCTTCATTTGAAAGGGCAAGTACACTTCTCCTGGAGGCAGCCATTTTACCCTCTTTCTCAGTGCATTCTTGGAAGTTTTCCTTTCGGTGGTGTCGTTTGGTTAAAGAACAATCTCTAACAGATGAGTCACTTTCCACAGGGCTAATGATTCTCTCCCAAGCCCTTGGCATTAGCTCAGAAGCATCCGTGCCTGAGGTCAATGGCTTTTTTCTTTCTTCTCTTCCAGTTGAGGCATGTGGCTCCCCTGAGGGAGACGACATAGCCCTGTTAATGAGGAATGGAAGAGGTCCTTTTCTAATGGAAGTAGATCCACTGCTTTTTACATTTGTCATTCTCTCTGTGGCTTCAGGTGCTTCCAGGGCTGCATCTGAAACGACTTTGGGACATTCATTTGCTGACTCAGGAGAACTGGGACTAAATTTGTTTAATGTATGGTTCCCCATTGCATCTTCCACATTATTTTTGATTTGGAAGGGAGGTGGCCCATTCCTCAATGAAGCAGCCATTATTTTACTTCCTGACTGCCTGCCATGTACGAGAAAACTGCTTGATTTTCTCGGCAAGGTACAATAAATTGTGTCAAGCTCAGAAACTTTGGAATTGCTTTGATTTGCTTCAGTGAGGCTCCTGTGATCACTGGTGGGTACTGATATACTTTCTGTTTTGCTTAACTTTTCAATACAGGATATATGATGCCTTATTTTTCCTTTTCCTCTTTCATTCCTAAAAGGAGAGTGTGAATGGCATTTGACATCAACCACTTCATCATGTGTAGGCACATGACTATCATTTCTCTCTTGGTTTTCTGAGTGGCTTAAAATAAACTGATTCTTTTGGTTCTTCCCAGCATTGTCTTTTTCTTCTCTTTCTCCTAGCGATGGATCTTTGTCTGAAGGACTTCTCCTGGAGAACACTGTAGTAGATGGAACCACAGGAGCATCAAGGGAAGAATTATTTGATGGTGAGGAATCTGGTAGTGCAGCTGATGACAGATCTAAAGAATCACACAAGGTCTTGTGGCCAGCAGTCAACTTGCCGCAGTTGGTAGAATGAATTGTGGCACATTGTTCTCCCCCAGTATCTAAAATAACAGGCTTTTCTGGAGACTGTGCATTTTGAATATCAGTTGGTGCAGAGCTCCAGTGGTTGGTTGTAATAATGCTTGAAATATCTTCATTACTTACAGTTAATTCCTGGTGACAACCTTGGTCTGTCCTGGGGAAAGATGGTGGTGTTCTGTGTTCCTGAATGAAAGGAAGGGAAGCCGTTGAGCCAAGTTTTCTGTTCTCAGTAAACCTCTTATCTTGTTTAACGTCATTGGATTTATCTTTGTGTGGTGTGTACATTTTGGAGGTATCTTTCCTGGAAAAGACTCTGGGTGACTTTTTTGAACTTATTGTGGTAGATGCACTAAAACTAAATCTGTTGCTCTTGGCTGAGTCCTGGGAGAAAGGATTTTGAAAATCAGGTAAAGAGTTTGAGATCCCTCTCTGTGAAACAGGTTGGGGTACTTCACCTACCTTGTTTGTCTGGTCCATCTTGCTTAGCTGTTTGTCTTCTTCTGAAATAGATTCATTTAAGTCTTTCTCATTATTCACTTCTGTGACCAAGATATTGGGCTGGCTTCTGGCAAGAGGCAGAGAGTCAATTGAATTGCTGTTGGTCACAGTGACTTCTGTATGGCTTCTCATTGGATGAGAGGCAGGCTTATTAGGAATAATTTTCTGCAAAGTGACTGTGGGATTCTGCAAGTTGGGACTCTGAGGATTCCTTCTGTCATCAGAAGTCTGGGGAAAGGAAGTTTTGAATGAGGATGCTAGAGGCTGAGCAATTCCAAATGAGGAAGCTTCTTTGTTTATATGTACTTCTACAGGAGAACTGTCCTGTTGGCTTACCAACTCACCGGATTTGACGTGATAGCTTGAACCAGTCATGGAGCAAACATTTGGTGTGCCAAAATGAGGAGTCGATTTGGTCTCATTACCATGTGATACCGCCATGCTCTCCAGTGTGGATGTCTGAAAATCAAACTGCCAGGGATGTGGCTCTTCTTGGACTCTGGAAACATCTGTTCCATAACCAGAAGAAAATGATTCCCAGTGTTCAGAAGAAACACTATGGCCATGAATGGCTGATGCACTATTTGCTTCCATGGAAATCATTTCAAAGTCTCTGTCAGAAGAACTGAATGATTTCCTGCTTTGATGAAAGTCAGACCAGAAAGAATGTCCTTTCTGTTGGCTCCAAAAAGGACTTTGTCCAAATCTCCTCTGTTCTCCGCTTCGTCCAAAGGTATTGCTGAAGAAGGACCTGGCAAATGGGTTGCTTTGATGGTAGAATGGCATATTCTCAGAGTTCTCAAAAGTGTCAGGACTCATTGCATTCTCCATGGGAACATTTAAACTAACACGTTGGTAAACATTCTGTGAATGGTACGATTCATAGCTCCTATTCTCCTGAAAACCTCTGGGATACACATACTTGTCAGCAGGATCAATTTCCATTGGTGATGGTGCCCTCAGGAACTCTTCCTGGTTCTCCCTATCTCTACAGGAATCCGATCTGTTCCATATGATGGATGATAAAGGAGTTCTCTTTGGACTCTGCTGGTGCCTTGGTGGTATAAACCCACTCTTGTTCTGAGCTGTGGCTGGAAAATGTAAGCTTCTTGCTGTGAAATGCCCTGTGGCTGGTAAGGCCGACCGTTGTCTGCTGTCAAAACACAGCGAAGTACTTCCAAAAGTATTCTTTTGCACATAATCTTCTTTAAAGACTCTGGGCTCCCTTGTCCTGTACATATCATAAATTGTCCTTGTCCTAGGAGAAAAGGTTTTAAAACCTTCCCTAGGAGTTCCTGGTCTTAGGATGTCATAGATAGACATATTGGAAGTTTCATTATAGTGTTTTTTGTGCCTTTCTGTGATATTACCATGTCTGCTACCACTGGAATAAAAGTGACTGAACTGTGTCCTTGATCCATAGTTGAGGGGTGTTCTGGTATTCACTGAGCTTGCAGACTGTTCCTGAGCCAATTTGCTATCCAAGTCATCTAAAACTGAAAAGAGAATGTGAATCAACTTTTTTGTATATGTTTTTACAGTTTAATAATAATTTGAGTTATTGAAGGCTCCTTTTCAAGAAACATAATCATTTATAATTTTATTTTTTATCATATTATCATAAATGTTATAACATGAATTTTGATTATATTTTTAAGATAGTCTGACTTTTACAAGACTATAGTGAAAATTTATTTCCTGTTTTTTCAAATCACTTTTTTTCAAAGTGAACTTTCCATAATGCCCTAAGGAAATAGAACTATATTCTTGTAACAATGAATTTTAATCATGGTTTTTTTTAGTGCATCTAAAGCGTACTGAGTTTTTCTAAGATATGGGCTAGTAATAAAAGGGAACTAATAATGCAGACATTGAAAAACTAGACAATTGTTAGTGTTGTTAAGCCTTGTCTTTTCATTTCTTTCATGTCACTAGGTTGCTACAATATTTCCAGCTGTGTATACCTCCTGGGATCATAATAGAAATGAGCCTCTGTAAGTAGCATATGATTTCTAGGTTGCACTGTAAAACAGTATTACCACCCAAAGCTTAGCACCTAATTTATGAACATACTTAGGTGGATGGGGGATTCGAGCAATATATATAATTAAAAGTGCCAGATAATATTATTAAATGATATACCAATGGTAGATTTTTTTTTCTGGAAAAATTAATACCTGTTAACACTCCTATAAAACAGCACTTTCTGTGTGTCAGGCAGAGTCCTAAACACTTTAACTCATTAAATCCTCACACCACCTTAGAAGGTTGGTCCTATTACTATTATTATTCTATAATGAGGAAACGGAAGCAAGAAGAGATTAAGCAAATTCCTAAGATCACACGGCGCTGGGATTTGAACCCAGACCGTCTGTTTCCTGAGTCCATGCATAAGACCACTGTGCAATGCAACCTCTGTGTCCATGCATACGACCACTGTGCAATGCAACCTCTGTGTCGATGCATACGACCACTGTGCAGTGCAACCTCTGTGCCATAAAAGCTCACTTTTTAGCCGGGCACAGTGGCTGACGCCTGTAATCCCAGCCCTTTGGGAGGCCAAAGCGGGCAGATCACGAGGTCAGGAGATCGAGACCATCCTGGCTAACACGGTGAAACCCTGTCTCTACTAAAAATACAAAAAATTAGCCGGGTGTGGTGGCAGGCGCCTGTAGTCCCAGCTACTTGGGAGGCTGAGGCAGGAGAATGGTGTGAACCTGGGAGGCAGAGCTTGCAGTGAACCGAGATGGTGCCACTGCACTCTAGCCTGGGCGACAGAGCGAGACTCTGTCTCAAAAAAAAAAAAAAAAAAAACCCAGGAAAAAAACCCTCACTTTTCATATTTTGCTCTTTATGAACCATACAGATGATTTTACTGTGAGATGAGCTCATAGTTTTACAAAGATGTGAAGCTGCTGTTGTCAAATAATGATTACTTTTCTCTCAGGAGCAAAGTTGGGGGTGATGTCAAAGTCAGTGCCCAGGGGCCTCCTTATGATAACTGAAGACCTAGACCAGCCCAGACCCAGGGCTCTTGCTCTCTAGGACCACAGCCTCTGTGATCTCAGACAAGCCTGTGTTACCTTTTGGTGACACAGTTGGCTTTTCTTTGAATTGTATCAATTTAATTGTACTTGACATGTTTTCCTCAATAAAAACCCATTAGACTTTGAATAGAATCATAATCTTTTGAGGTTTGTAGACTCTCTAAGACCTACTCTATAATAGATATGGTTTAGTATATTCATGTTCAATAAATACGAAGAAATTACAAATTTTATTTCAACTGTATAATGACAGGAAATGTAAGTGTCTAAGAACACATAGGTGAAATGTACATACAACATGCCAATTATGTTAGGGCAGATGCCAAAGGGATTTAAAAAAATCTGTTCTGGATTTTTCCCTATCCTATTTTATTTGCAAGTTGGTGTTATTAAGTTTGTACAACCAAAAGAAAAACTGATCTTGAACGTTAAGGATATGTAATTAAGGAATTCTTTAGGGAATAAATCTGTCAATGTTTTAGTGAAAAATATTTTTTTTTCCCTAGGACCTGAAATAATTTGTTCCCTATAGCCACAATAAAATAAGCAATGCTGAGGTATAAGGTGGGGCAAACAAAACAAAACAAAACAAAACTGCATAATGAATAAAAATCTATCTTTAAAACAAATTATGATGAAAATCTCTTTGATGTCCATTCTCCCTTTCAAGCTGTTTATGTTTTTCTTTCCCCTTAAAGTCTTGGCTGACTACAAGAGCAGAATGTATTTACAACAGAAAATACAGAAAAGTATAACAATATAGGTAAATCGCCAGGGATTCTACCTAGAGGTAACCACTCTTAACATTCCCGTGACAGGATTTTAAATTAAAGCCACTTAGAATCCCAGATTAACAATGCTATTTACTCACCACTCCTGACATCAGAACAATTCCTGTTTTGCTTCTCTACATTATTTTCAGAAAGGCCACATTATTATTACTTTTTTCATTCCATAAACAGTAGCTCTCCTCTTCCAAAAAAACCTTCTTTTGGAACAAAGATTTTCCTCTGTTCTCTGCCAGGAAGCATCTGACTGAAGAAAGCCCCTATGTTGACTGTCCAGCTGACTGTCTTCCCGACTGCTGTACCACACGATAGGGGCCAGGCGATGGTACTGCCTTTGCAAACTAAATGTAGTTCCTCAAGGTGAAGCTGGTGGCGAGTTCAGAGTTAACTTTTCAAATGGTCAGGCTTATACAGAATAACCTTTGTAAAAGTGAACTATGATCAGATAGTGATAAGGTACATGTGCATTTGGAATGCCACTGCTTTTGGAACTTGTTTCAGTTTTTATCATCATACAAGGTTAATTGTCTAATGAATTAGATTTTATCACAGTGTATTTCGGTCCTAATCTGGAACAATAAAAGTCTATTAAACAGCAAACTTTGTAGATGTATTTCCTAAAGACATATTTCCTTTTTACCTGAGGTTAATTTTTTTTTTTTTTCCAAGATGGAGTTTTGCTCTCTCACCCAGGCTGGAATGCAGTGGCACGATCTCAGCTCACTGCAACTTCTGCCTCCCAGGTTCAAGCAATTCTCCTGCCTCAGCCTCCCGAGTAGCTGAGATTACAGGTGCATGCCACCATGCCTAGCTAATTTTTGTATTATTTTCAGTAGAGATGGGGTCTCGAACTCCTGACCCCTGTGGTTAAATATTAAACATTATTACTACTCCATATATTTATCAGTCCTTGATTTGAGAATATTTGCTCAAATTATATTTAATCATAAGTTCTTAATACTTGTGTTAATAACATGTCAGCATCCTCTTCAAATAAGCTAAACAGGAGGATGTAAAAATTAAAGTACAGCGTTTGATATGTTTTGAGTAGTTTAATACAAACTAGTTATTGTTTACTTCCTTTAGTACCAGTAGTTGCAAAGGCAATTTAATGCATGAACTTACCTTGGAAAAACTCATTCTCCAGCAGTGAAGCATCCCACGGTGGAGGCATGCCACTCTCCTCCCTCATGACTGCTGGCTTTGGGACAAATGCACTGTCAACTAGTTGCTTTTCCAGAGGTGAACTGTATATTTTTGTCTGCTAATTTTAAAGTAGAGAACACAATATTATTTCTGAGCCTTCACCAGTCAAAATACTCACACGCTCCCACAAAACTGTCCCAAGCTTAAAAATATTAGTCTAAGGACTACAAATCCATTTTTCTAATATTTATTTCTCAATTTACAATGTGTTGTTTTTGCCATTTGTAACTGACCTGCAACTTCTCTATACCTACATTAATTCTTTCAATGATGAGACTTCAGGGAAGGTACTGAGTCTCTCTCTGCCAAAGTTTCCTACAAACTTGACACAGCACTGTCAGAGGCATTTGAATCAGGGCAACTCCATTTCGAATAGGGGCTGGGTAAAATAAGGCTGAGACCTACTGGGCTGCATTCCCAGCCGGTTAAGGCATTCTAAGTCACAGGATGAGACTGGAGGTTGGCACAAGGTACAGGTCATAAAGATCTTGCTGATAAAACAGGTTGCACTAAAGAAGCCGGCTAAAACCCACCAAATACCAAGATGGCAACAAGAGGGACCTCTCCTGTTGTCCTCACTGCTACACTCCCGCCAGTGCCATGACAGTTTCAAATGGCATGGCAATGTCAGGAAGTTACCCTATATGGGCTAAAAAGGGGAGGAATGAATAAGCCACCCCTTGTTTAGCATAATACCATCAAGAAATAATCATAAAAATGGGCAACCAGCAGCCCTTGGGGCTGCTCTGTCTATGAGATAGCCATTCTTTTATTCCTTTACTTTCTTAATAAACTTGCTTTCACTTTACAGACTCGCCCTGAATTCCTTCTTGTGCGAGATCCAAGAACCCTCTCTTGGGGTTCTGGATCCAGACCTTTTTCTGGTAACTTCTTCCTGGCCACCACGGAAGGAACAATACTAAGGAAACCTTCCAACCAAAGGCTAACTTTGGGTAAGTGGTGGGGTGCGGTAACAGCATTACATAGATCTTAGTGGGGGTTACTTGCAGAGAGGAAAGAAATTGACCCCTCTCGAGTTTGGAGTGCTGTCTCCATGGCTCCAATGGCTTGGATTTTGGATTTCCTAACGATGTACGTTTTTTTCAAGACTCTGTTAGCTAGAACTCTTAGTGGACCTTAAGATTTGTGAACTTGGCCGCGTGCGGTGGCTCATGCCTGTAATCCCCAGCACTTTGAGAGGCCAAGGTGGGCAGATCACTTGAGGCCAGGAGTTCGAAACCAGCCTGGCCAACATGGTGAAACCCCTGTCTCTACTAAAAATACAAAAATTAGCTGGATGTGGTGGCCAGTGCCTATAATCCCAGCTACTCCGGAAGCTGGGCCAGGAGAATCACTTGAACTTGGAAGGCGGAAGTTGTAGTGAGCTAAAATCACGCCACTGCACATCAGCCTGGGCAACAGAGCAAGACTCCATCTCAAAAAAAAAAAAAAAAAAAAAA